GGATGGATGGATGTTCAGTAAGTTAAATACTGTATTTTCTGGCATATAAGTCACAGTTTTTTTGCAAAGAATTGTCAGTCCTGCGACTTATACGCCGAAGCAACTTATATACATCTTTTTCCATATTCATAACGCAATTTTTGATTGACGCTTTAAATTTCTAAGAACTGCAACAGAGAGTCCTCCCGTGAGCTCTCGCTTTACTCAACTGGTGCAGGCGGAGGAACACTGGAGAGCTAGCGGCTCCAGACGCGATAGACGGATGGATGAATGGATGGATGAATGGATGGATGAATGGATGGATGAATAGATGAATGAATGGATGGATGAATGGATGGATGAATGGATGGATGCTGCTGCACTGCCCAGGTGAAATTAAGCTGTTTTGACCATTAAATAAACGCATAATAAATGTGACTTATATGCCGAAGCAACTTATAAATGTTTTTTTTCCTCTTCATGATGCTTTTTTGGATTGATGCGACTTATACTCTAGAGCGACGTATACGCTGGAAAATACGGTAATCTCAAGACATTGATGTTAACATTTTGCTGAATCATACACAACATATTTAATGGGCACTGAGGTTTTCTTTTTACATTTATTCTTTCTAAAGTGATGTCTTATCAATTATTACATAAAAACAGATTTAGTTTAAAGGTAATGCGCTTACTTCCAGTGGCAGTAGAACAAATCAAAGTCCATGAGGACTGTGGAAAGCCTCTTTGACATTTGATAATTTGATTGAACATGTTTTGCAGTGATCTGTAATTTGATTATTTCTGTTCAAAAGCCTGAATATTCCCATAATTTACTGTATTTTGCATGGACATATGACAACACCTCGCCTTCACATGATATTGGATAAATAAAGAAAAAAAAGTGAAACTACTGTAAATTAATACACATTCACAGCCGGAACCATAGACTTTTAAGTTATTATTCTAGTTTCAGCTATCATTTCAGGTTAACTTCATTTGATTGAAATTATCTTGTTTTTGTTTTTTTTGGGATGTCCTAAATCCAATTTTCTATGTGAATATGATGAACCTGTTTCACAGTCTGAACATATAACGTGAGAATGAACAGCTTTTGTTCTCCTTGGTCAAAAAGTGTAGCCAGCGGCTGCAGTAATTTTGAGGCAGGGGCTTGTCGTGCAAGCATGTAATGGTACTGCAACCGTATGGCCACAACAAGATGCTTCTCAGCCATGGCCGAACAACCCGAGGGTGATTTTCATTTTTGGCAGGGTTTTTAATGTTGCAGCTTGTGCACAATATAAGCTGTTAGGAAGAAGACCAAAAAAACAAAAAAAACAAACAAAAAAAAGCCTCTATCTCATGTAATTTCATGTAACAAAAAGCTTTCTGGGTTAATATCCAGTGGGAAGTTTCACATGACACTTGTCTCAATTCAGGCCAGGCATAGAAAACTTTGTGAAATTGGCATCTGTCAAAATGGACTTGCAGAAATATCTCAGTTGCATTGGGAGTAGTCAGAATGATGTTATCTGTTGTAATGGTTGTCAGTGACGAAACAGCATGCAAAATTCAAGGGTCAGACGTCCTCAGTGCTGGCAGCTATGTCAGAAATGGATTGTTGCAGTGCTGTGCCACTTTGTAGCCATCTTTAATATTTTTGTTGGATCCCTATAGTGTTACGGATTTGGCACACAATTAGAAACAAATGCAAAAACTAATGGGCAAAGAAAACCATTAAAACACATAATCTCGATTTATGTTTTTCGACACTGATTTTAAGTTACGCTTGTTTAAGCTTGAAAAAAAAACCCCTTTTTTTAAATTTGAAGTTGAATGTTTTAATGAGTTCACAGAGTAAAAAACATTATAGAGTAGATTTCCATGAAAAATTGGTCACATTAGTCTTTAATACATTTAAAAGTGTGACGATCGCAACTACACCCACACAGATATAAGGACGAATGAGAGCAAAGACCAAGAAGCCGGAAAGATTTTCAGTGTTTATTTACTAAGTGAGAAATAGTGCAATAAGCCAGAGAGGGGACTGGAACCCTGCGGAGCAAAGAGGTGGTTCTTGTATTCAAGGGTGATAATGTTATTGCTGATTCTCCTTACAATGGAGGTCGAGGTCAGACGTGAGGAGGGTTGACCCAAATGGTTCCAGGTGAAGGATGTGCAGGTCTTAGGCAAGTGGTAGGAAGGTGTGGAGGCAGTTAATGAGGCACAGAGGTGCTTGAGGTCCACAGAGCAGGATTCAGAAAAGAGGAAGTCATCAAGGGTAACTCACTGGAGGCACTGAGAGAAATACAAATCATTAATGTTTGGTTTTAAACACGAGTAAAAGGCTAGAACAAGGCTACCATTGGCAGGTAACGCTGCAGCACCTGCTGAATGTCCTCTGCAGCCTTTTATTCTCCTCTTGCTCGTCAAGCTGATTATCCTCAGGTGCAGCTGATTGGTGCTCAGATGTGGCTGCAGGGAGCTGGCAGGGCATAACTCCCACAAAAGGAATCAAATGTCCTTTTAACAATTAACAAAAAGCTATTTGAAAAGCTGAAATGGGAGCGCTGAATGGTTTTAGGAGCCCTTATTTTCTTGTACTCTAACTGAAAGAGCCGACCCATTTCTGACTGTTATTTTCTTGTGTCTCTTTTTTGCATCATTCTTTGTGCTTTCCTGACCTCATCCCGTCTCGTCTTCTTACTGTACAATGGAGACGTCCACTCATCCACCCAACCGTGTCTTCACCCAGTCGCTCGCCAAGCCATTCATCCTTTGCTCTTTCTGCTTTTCACACACAGAAGACATAATCAAAACCTATTAAACAGACTGAGAATAAAGAACAAAAAGGTGTAGAAATGAAACTTTTATGAATGATTGTGATGGTCACGGTGATTCTTAAATCCTTAAAAAACAAGCATGAAAAGGCCAAGGGGAAAATAACGATGTGGATAAAGAAGATGTGATGTAGCTCTCTAATTTAAAGTGAAATGAAGTGTTGTGAGCAGGCAGCTGGCAAAGGCGGACAGTGACAGTGGTCCATGGGCACTGACTGATGTAGTGAGTGGGCAGGATGACATGCTGTCTCGAGGGAAGTACCAGTTCTTCCACCAAGCGATGGAATAAATTGTGGATAGTTGGAAAGAAATGGATGGGAGAAGATTGTAAAAATAAATAAATAAAACAAAATAGTACAGTGCAATTATTTCCATCATTTACTAATGATTGGAAGAGGAGAATGTTGTGTCAATGCAAATAAAGCTGTTAGATCGTGGGGGTTGACCTGTCTTTTAATGGGCTTCCCGATGTGCTGATTTACAGTGCGTGGGCGCCTTCTGATTGCTTAGAGCACACTATACAAAAGACACCTGGATGAATGGGCTTTGGCTATTTTAGAAAGACATCTTAAGTGCTGTTCTGCTCTCTTATCTGAGGTGGTAAACACATCAGAAAATGTCTGTTTTCGGAGTCACCCTACAGTGAATTTGAAGAGTGTAAGCACAAGAGGAACACTTAAAGGGAGACACGTTTTCAAAAGGCAGCTTTATAATTGTTAAAAAGCAACTGAAAGAAAAAACAGCTACATGAGTATATTCACAACTTGCCATTTATGACAGATGTTTGTGTTATGCAGACAACTTGTAGGGAAATCCTACTCACTGTCTATTACAGTATACAAGAAATTGTGCAGAAAATGAGGGACAAGCACAAAGAGCTAATCATTCAAATTCAATTTTTGTCTAAGAAACTTGTTGTCAATTTCAGATTGATGGCTTCAGATATTTTTTAGACTAAAATAAAACATTGTATGTGTTGCTAATGAAGTCAGTTCCATCCAATGCAGACATGCTTTGAGTGGTGGTTTTTGTTTTAACAAAATGTTTGCAATCTCTACTTTTTTTTTTGGCTGCTCCCTTTTTCAGGGGTCACCACAAATAACTAACTCGCATGAAGACTTGGCAATTGTTTTTACACCGGATGCCCTTCCTGACGCAACCACAGACCACCGAGCTACCACAGCCATCTGTGTGGAGCAGAGAGATGCTATCTAGGGCACCCAGGGGAGGGGTAAAGGGCTTTGCTCCATGGCCCAAAGTGAGGCAAATGAGGGTGGAGACATGTGTGGGTGCCTCATCAATCCCACCCACATTTTGATATTGTCATATGGGGAGCTGAACCGGCAACCTTCCGATCACAGATCTACCATTTCTAACCTCTGTGCCACCATACCCATTTGCAATCTCTACTAAATAAATAAATTGCAATAAATGACTTTCCCTCCTTGTAACTCAAATCATGGGGCAAACTGTGGAAATTTCATACAATTTCAAATTAGCGCAGCAAGCATACTGCCCCTGTTGTTCACACTACTAACAAAAATGCAATAAAACAACAGATCTTTCTATATTGCAACATATATTGGTAACAGCCTTTGATGCTGGAGCTTTGATGCAGAGAACCAGCTAATTTAAATGTCATTTTAATCTAAGTTATCCATTCTATCCATTTAGCCCCCCATCCTATGTTCTTTTTCATTGTTCACAATGATACAGTGGCAGCATCCAAAAAGTGTTTCCAATATAAAACACAGCTGTTCAACCACCTGGCTTTCTTTGATAATTCAGGGAAACACAAGCCTGTTTGTGAGTGTAATTGCTGTGGCTTTTAGGCAGACTGGAGAGAAAAGAGGCTGTGGCTTTGTGGCAGGTGAGTCTGGAAGCCTTGGCTCCAGCTGCAAACCCCCTTATTAGGAGGGGAAAGAATCATCGCTTTGATTGACGTGACGCAGTTTCTTTATGGCTCAGAAAGAACACAGCTGGGTTTTATGATTTCCAGTTCACAGAGCAACAAAATCCAAACTGTCTTGCTTTTTCTCCCGCTTAAATCTTTCTGCTCAGAGACCGTGTGCACATTGATTTCATCGTGCTTTCAATGGGATTCTTTTCATAAGATGTTTTCTGAGATCAGGGCTGGCTTTAAACTGACAATGACGTCATTTGTCTGTCTGTTTCCACCAGGTAAAGAATGTCTTTGAACAAGAAGGTTTCAGTCGTCAGAAGCGAGGCTACAGGAATATCAATGATATAGAAGTCAACATGAGTGACCCCCTGTTCACCAAGCAGTGGTATTTGGTGAGTAATCAGCCAACTAGCTGTCTGCATGCTGCCTGACCTTTTGCGCCAAGCCACATTCTCCCGTGTTAATTACATCGAATCCAGGCAGTTTAAGCACTACTTTTTGCATCAACGTTGTTACTCATTCCTAAATTAGCCTGGCCAATACCAAGACATGTAATCTTTACTTTTGTGCTGCCCATTTCCTCCCTGCTTGTTTTACCCCAAATGGCATGCTTTATTATGCAGCAGAAGTCTTACTTTTATCTTATTCAAGAGGTACATGTCAGTTCAGTGACATTTATTCCACCTTCATTTAACCTTTACTCTCTCAACCCCATGCATGGCTTCTCTTTCTTGTGCATGCACCTATCCTCTCTCTGAAATAATATCCCAGTGGTGGCTCAACTGGGTGCCATGAGTCATGGCTGTTCTCTGTATTGTTTGTGCCTTCAGATAAACACAGGCCAGGCAGATGGGACCCCGGGGTTGGATCTTAATGTGGCCGAAGCTTGGAAACTAGGCTACACAGGCAAAGGAGTTACCATCGCAATCATGGATGACGGTAAGTAATAAATCAGTATTTTGTAAAACTGTCAGATGGGTACAAATGATTAAAGTAACCTAAAATTAGAAAGGTTTATCTTTTTATAATATGCTTGGTGACTAAAATGAATTTGTAGTGTTTTCTATGTTTTTCCATTGTTGTCTACCTAAGAGCCTAAAGGGCCCAGCAAACTCCATCTGAAGCTGAACAGTTGACTCGTGGTCATGTGGTTGCATTTTTGCACACATCTTTCATAGTCCATGAGACACATGGCACAGAGCTCCAAGGAAACCCCTCCCACTTGTCATGGCACAGGTTTTTTTCCCACCGGGTCTCCACTCCGTCCCTGCAATCACTGTTTTGCCACAAATCTGTCATGAAGAAAGCGCAATACTTTTCAGCTGACAGACTCTTTTTTAGTCTCTTCTTTACACAATGTCTGTGCAATCTCCATTCAGGAGTTTTTGGCCATTTGACTGCGTCTTGAAGAGTTGTATAAATGAACGTCTGAACGCTTTTTCATATTAACAAACATGCCCACAAACATCTGACCAATCACACAATGTGCATACCTTCAAGGATGTCATACAAGCTCACATTTGTAGGTTTATGGTACGAAATTTGGACGCAGGTACCAGATCAAGAAGCCTGACAATTAACAAATAAATAAACATAAAAGAGTACAAATATATATATAATAAATAAAGTTTAAAAAAAAAAAGTAAGATGAAGATGAATTAAGTGCAGATCGAGTTCAGTAGTTTAACAGCTGCAGGGAAGAAACTATTTCTGTGCCTGGTGGTCTTGCTCTGAATGCTTCTCAGCTGCCTGCTCGAGGGGAGGGGCTGTAACAGACTGTGTACAGGATGAGTGGAGTCCTTCATGATGCAGAGCACCCTCCCCCTGCATCATGAAGTGTAGAGGTCCATGGTGGTGGGAAGGCTGCTCTCCACCTGTACATACTCCTGCGAGAAAAACTCAGCCCAGACCTTGGGTCAAGAAGAGACGGGCAAAGCTACTCAGAGGTCAAAATGTTGCGATTTTCATCATGCAACTACATCAATGAGAGCCAATTTTGTGGCTTCAGATGGAGTATTCAGGAACTTAAGAGTGTTCCCATCAGCATAAATTTTTAATTAGGGATGCACTGATCCACTTTTTTTTACTTCCGATCCAATCCCGATACCTACATTTAAATATCGGCCGATACCAATCCAATTCCGATATCATGATTATCATTGATTTTACATGAGGCTGTAATAATCTCCTCTCAAGTAAAATTTGTACAAATATATGCATGCATGTCCAAAAAGGCAACTTGAGGTAAGTTTTATTAATGTTGGATAAGTTTTAAAGTTAGAATTAAATTCTGCTAACACAAAACATGTTTCTTTTTATTCTTAGTTTTAAAGTGGATATTAAAGTGATTAATTTAAGTGATTGTTTAAAGTTATTTTATATATTTTTTAATAAGGGGCAGATATAAGAATTATTTTTCTTCTTCCTGAACTCTTTTCATTCAATGTTTTCTTTTTGATGATTTTTTTTTAATTTTCTTTCTTTTAAATTAATGGATAAATGAATAAAATAAAATAAAATGTTAAATGGCTTCAAACATCTGCTAAGTTCATGGCATAAACCAACAGACATGTTCTTGTTTTTAGTATTTTACATCACTTTATAATGTAGCTGTTTTTGTTTTTAATATAATTTTCAAATCATGTTTTTTTTATGATTGACTACTGTTGTACTGATAAATATCTCCTGGAGGGTAAACTATATCTTGACTGCAAGTATCAAGCTGTGAAATCCTTCGTTTTCTACAACTGATAGTGGTTGGTCATGAATAATGATGAAGTTTAGCAACTTCTCGGTAAACATTTGAGCTCCGTGGCTTCAGCGATGTCTTCTTCTTGTTCAATCCGAAGCAAGCAGCCTGATTTGGGGCAGCAGTGCTCAAGTCTGTCCCTCCTCAGTGGGTTGAGCAAAGAGCAGCGCCCTGCTGAAGCCACGGAGCTCGACTGTCCATCGTAAAACTAACTTTACTGTGGTTTAATGTGGTGCTATGGCTCTGCAGACATTGCACGTTGCTGTCTTGTTTTGTGGTGTTTCTAGTGTAAAATACTTCCACACAGCGGACATGTTTAGATGAAAAGTTTGTTAGCTGTTAGCCACAGTGCTGCTAACTTAGTCCTCACATTGTAGCTGGCTGCAAACTATGAACTGGATTTCCTGAATGTGAGGTGGGTCTTATTACTCTGGGTTCGTGAGACACACCGCCGTTCAGGAAATCCATTCCATAGTTTGAAGCCAAATTGCATCATGGATCGGAAATGTCGGCAGGTGGATCGGAAAAATCCGATACGTAAATTATGCTGGTATCGGAGGCCGATACCGATACTGGATCGGATCGGCCCCATCCCTAGTTTTAATACCCTTAAAACGGAATGTAACGTTTAGATCTCCAAATATTTTGTGAAATGTGATGGTTCTTGTAATATATATGTTTTACCTAATAGATATGTACTTTTTTTGGTAGCAAATGATGTACTTTCTTCACATGTTTGCTCAGTATGTGGTTAACACCAGAAACTGCAACAGGCAGAAGCAAAGCAGTCTGTTTCTCCAGAACACATCTTTCCAATGATGTGCATATTTTCATGAAGAATTAACATTTTTCAAAACCTTTGAAAGCTTTCAGATTAGCCTTGGATTTTTACACAATTTAATATTTCACCAACTATTGTGTTTTTTGTTGAGCTGTAAATATTTTCTTGCACTTTCTGTAATCAAAGATGACATTTATAATTTGATTAAATTAAAAAAAAAAACCCAATGACACAGATACACCATCCTTGATCCCAAAGACACAACCACAACCACAGCCTCCAGTTCACATACCAGCCACGCACCAGAGTTGATAACGCCATCATCTACCTGCTGCACAGAGCCTACACGCACCTGGACAGGGCAGGCAGCACTGTAAGAGTCATGCTCTTTGACTTTTACAGTGCTTTTAACACCATAAGACCTACTCTACTCTGCAGTAAGCTCCTGGACATGAAGGTGAATGACTCGCTGGTCACCTGGATCAGAGACTACCTCACAGGTCGACCACAGTATGTGAGGCTGCAGAACACCACCTTGGACACCATACTGAGTAGCACGGGGGTTTCTCAGGGGACGGTCTTCTCACCATTTCTGTTCACCCTCTACACCTCGGACTTCAGGTACAACTCACTCCTGCCATCTGCAGAAGTTCTCGTATGACTCTGCCATTGTGGGCTGCATCACTGGTGACCAGGAAGCTGAATACAGAGGTGTGGTGGACAGAACCACCTGCAACTCAGCGTTGGAAAAACTAAAGAGCTGCATGTAGAATACAGGAAGACTAGCCCCCCAAACCTAGGGGTGCACCGATTGCAGTTTTCTGGCCGATAGCCGATCACCAATTTGTAAAAAGTCTGACCTACCGATTCCAATTTTGACCGATACCGATTTTGTTTTATAAGTGACAATGTCAAGTGTTATAAGTTCACAATGCACCTTCAATTTCCCAATATTATTTTATTGAAAAACATACCCATGAACAATATCCTAGAAACAATACAAACTTGTTTTAACTGGCCATGAGGTAGTGCTCTGAAATATAAATTAAACTCAGATGATTGTTGTTAAAACTAAAAACATCGATAAAATCAGTTTCTCATGCAAGTATCGGCCTATTTCCAATTTCCCAAAATTAAGGAAATCGGGGCCGATTTATCAGTGCACCCCTACCCCAACCCTATCAACATCAAGGGTACTAAGGTGGACACTGTGGACTGCTACAAGTACCTGGAGGTCCACCTAGACAATAAACTGGGCTGGATAGCCAGCACCAACTGCCTCTACAAGAAAGGACAGAGTCACCTTTTTCTTCTGAGGAGACTCAGGTCCTTGAATGTCTGTATGTCACACGCCCTGCATGACACACTGGACTCTTACAGTCATAGACTGAAACCACCGAGGTGCTCCACAAAACACCACAGGAAGTCCTTCCTCCCTGTGGCTATCAAACTTTTCAACTCCTCCCCCTGTCTGCACATAGGACAATAAAAAATGAATCCTGTATTACAATAAACTCTTTAATGTTTCTGTCTGCACCTGTTAATAACTTAATTGTTGGCATTTTTTATATTCTCTGTTATTTTTATATCTTGTGATTCTTGTGTATGTTCCTTTGTACTGAAACTCTGGCATAATAATTTCCTGTGGGATCAGTAAAGTTTTATCTTATCTTATCTTATCTTATCTTATCTTATCTTATCTTATCTTATCTTATCTTATCTTAAATGTCTTCCACTCCGACCATTGAATTAACTGTAATGGGACATTTCTGTAATTATTTCCATGATGTTATCATATACTCATAAAAATGAAAATGTTGTTCTTTGCAATATGTGAATGCATTTTTTTGTGGATAATGATTGCCGAGCTAAAAATCTACAGTTTCAGTTGCATTGCAGTAATATTTTCCTCATAAGATTCCAGCTATTGATCTAGCACTATCTCATGATGGCTGGTGTATATATAAAAAATTGTTGGCAGGATTAAAATGATTTATTGGTTTCACAGTCAGTCAGAGCAAAACTCAAGACAGAAACAGTTAACTGTCATCTGTTCTGCACTTCTTCTGAAGCTTAATTATGCCACTGATTAATGTCAGACATCACATTTCAGGTATCGACTATCTACATCCAGACTTGGCATCAAATTATGTGAGTACCTAAGTGTTACTGAATGGCCTAATTTCTTTCATTTCTTTGAAGTGCTGTTAATAAGTGAAGCAGGGTGGCAGGGTTTTATGGGCTGCATGTGACTTCTTATTGGCAGTGACAGGCGCTCTCTAACGTGCCTTCATGGCTGCCGAGTCTCCTTGCATCCCTGGAGGACGTGGAGACAGACAGACGGCCAGCCAAGCTGTTTAATGTTAATGCATGGAGCGCAGTCGCAGGCACAAAGGCAGGCCAATCTGTCACAGGCTGAGATAATGCCAGGGTAGTTGGCACTGCATAATGTGATGCTTTATCTCTAGAATACTGATAAAACTTTAAAGGACAAGAAGGACTGTTAAAGGGAACATAACAATGAAAGTTCAGTTTGACTTCTCTACTCCATTTGCAGTTTTGTGAGCTGCTGGTTTAGCAAAATCCTTTCTTTTTATAAATACATATAAGCTCTATAGTCCAGGTCATTTGTTATTATATTCGATTGATGGTCCGGAAACCTTTGCTTTACTTTTTTGATCTACTGCTTTTGTTCTTGTGCTCCATTTTTTGTTTTCATGTACTCCAACCACCATGCTTTTGCATGTGCCTGCCCATAAACAAAGGTGATCTGTGTCACTTCACTGGATTGATCCATCATGCTGTGCATATGTCTTAAGTGTGTGTCTGATTGAAATCAGTTACTAAAGAATAACTTTGCATGTCTAATATTGTTTGTGATGGTGTTACTCAGACCTCAGTCCATCGTTTGAAAATGAAATTTGATTAAATACTTTCAGCTTTGTTGCCTTAGTTAGAATAAAATTTGGTATGAACATAACTGCTTTATCTGTAAATTTAACCAATCCAACATACAGTAGCAACGTTTATGCAAAAGTGTTGGGTTGTGTCGATGTCTTTCTTGGGTTGATAGCTGTGCAGTAACAGCTCATAAAATACATTCTGAACTGGCAAATTTATGGTGCAATTATGAGGTTTGGGATGAAAATCGGATAATGGAAGTTTAATTTTGCGGCACATTTATCTACAAAAAGCCTACAATCAAAAACCTAATATTACTCATTATTTAATATGTGGTTTGTATAGATCAATTTTTGTATATAGTTTTATTTGAATTGAGTACTAATAGCTGACTTAGATTTAGCTTTCTCCTAAATAATACTATTTTGATTTTCAACCAATTTTTTTCATAGTTTTAAAATTTGGCTCGTTTTAAAGATCTTTAAACATAAAATAAAATAAAAAAGTCACCCTTATGAAGCATTGTGTCAAAAACACTGAGTGCCTGCTGCTTCTGTCACAGCGTATAAAAACCTCGGTATTCAAACATTTTAAACATTTTAACATGGTTATTTTTACACTTTATATTTTTGTTATTGTTGGGTGTAACTGGGACCCTGTACATAATGTTGTCCCACCTCATGTACCACATGTGGTGGGAACGACAGTAAACTTACTTGAACTTGAACTTGATTTTGGTTTGATTGAAAATTGATTAATTTGGACACTGCTTCTTTTGTCTTTTAGCTACAGATCTGCTAATACTATTTTGCTACTATTTAGCTTTACCATCTGTTTTGCAATTGTAAGCTACAACTTTGCTAATATAAGCTTAGGTTTAGCTATATTTTTAAGTTTTATGCAATGTTTTCATCTGCTTTTGTATAATGAGTTTCAGTTTTTAAGAAAATTCAGCAACATCATTCAACACAACATTCACACTGCTTTTCATAGAAAATTCAAATTTTCTAGTTAGTTTAGTTTTTATTTGCTATTTGTTTTTGTTGCTTTCAGGAAATTGGATTAAAATAATTAGATTGCCACATAAAATACTTAGTCATGTTTATATAAATATATGGGTTTGTCAGCCTGACATCACCTGAACAATGGAAACATAGCTTTCCGTTTTCCTCTGAAGTTTTCACTAAAGGCCGGGGCAGGCCATGTCGCTACGTCAGTCAACGAGAAACTTGTTGTTTTCTCTTAATACCTTTTATGTTCAAGAATTAAGTGCCTCTGTCTTATGCATAGAAGTTAAGTAGGTCTGGCAGATTTATCTGACGTGGGCATGTCTTAGTCATTGCGATAAAAATCAAACAAACAAACAAAATTCAAGAAACATATCTCTTTGAATAAATTATTTCTATCTTTCTAAAGTACAAAGGTCTCACTGTACTCAGATTGAGGTTTGGTTTCATCCAAAGGTTTCCAGGGAAAGGTGAGGTGGATAAGGCTCAGCACAATTATTCTGTGCCTGGCTGCACACATGACAGCCAGGAAAGAGCGGAGTCTGATTGATAACACGCGATATGAGGTTGTAAAGTCCAGTAAGTGATCCATGGACATGCCTCTGTGTTATTTATTACCTGGGCTCAGGACTTTTCATTTCATTTAATGAAAAATAAAAAAAAAGGAAAGGGAATGTTTCTACTTCTGACATGAGCTCAGGAGCTGTTGGGGAACTGTATGTTTTCTCTTCTTAAATGTCCTACACCCAATGAAATTGATTTTTCTAAATATTTTAATCAGCGTTAGAATAAAAATATGTAAAATCAAAAATGCAGTGAGAAAAATACAATAAACAAAAAAGGCATTTACCCATCAGTAACATCAGACACGGACACTTCCTCATATAAGCCGTGCCGCTGTAACCTTTTCTATCTTCCTCTGTGGTTACCTGCTTCACATCTTGATAATTACAGTATTTTTCCAGAGGGTCAATAAGCATGTTTTGTTGCTGCCTGAGTCATCTCTCCTAAATGCCAGCCAGTTGTCTGACAGTGGCGACAACACAGTTACCGACGCAGCAGTGATGGGTTTGGCTCAGTGGCTGATGAACATGGCTGTGGATTCTCCGTTCTCACACAGAACACTTGTTCCAGGTTCTGCTGGTGTAGAATAACATGAATAACACTCCTATTGATCTGAGTGACAAGTTAAGGAGAAATCGCAGGAGAGAGAGAAGCAGACACAGGCATTACAAGAAAAACAACACCTAATTGTTTTTTTTTCTTTATTTATCTATTTTTTATTAATTTATGCTTATTTTCTCATTTTTGGCCACGTGGAAGTAAATCTTGAGCCACTATCACACCGTTAAATCCCTGCTGTGACCACACATCATTCCAGCAGAACAAACATTCATCATTAAATTTTGCATCACTGTGCATAAAATAATAAATAAAATAAATAATGAAATACATATTTTAAGCTGCCGGTTCATTAGGAACAACTAGTTAAAACAAGTGCAGACCCATTTTAAGCCTTTCCTTTAGGAAATGTATGATGTTTGAAGTTGATTTTATAATTTTGGAAGCAATAAATGCAAAAAGGATTCACACAAAAAGGATGTAAATAATCACAAAGGCAAAAGAACTGAACAAAAGCAGACAGAATCACAAGAAAGAACATCTTGTAATTTGACGAGCGTAAAATCTGAACATCACTGTCCAGTAATTTGTGACAAAGTGATGTCAAAAGGTTATAAACTTACTAAGGCTGGTTAACAGTAAAACAAAAACAAATGATTAGTGTTGATTTTAACTTCATGTAAATGAGACATACACAAGCATGAATGATGAAGTGAAACATTTGCAGTGACCTCAGAGAAACAAAAGGAGAGATGGAAATGAATACAAACTGGCATTAAATTACAGTGAGCTGCAAAAATGACCATTGTGCATTATAAAACACTAAAAAGATGCAAACTAACCATTATTGACACAAAACAACAAAATTAGAAATGAAATGATCGCTGGAAGACACAGAATTAACTAAATGAGGCAAAATAACCCAGATGAAACGAATGAAAATATTACAGAGATGTAAAACAACTAGAAAAGGCACAATAAATACTAAATGAGACAATAAGAGATCTGTTAAATATATCAAAGTTCATGTTTAATAATCCACGTAAACAACAGTCAGGTCATCGAGGTGGTTTCTTTTTTGTTGAGACATTTCGTCCTTCATCCAAAGGACTTCATCAGTCTGAGGAGCCACAACAAACTCAGTCCCACAAGCGGCGCATTCACATAGTGGACCAACCAGTTTGTTGGTGATAAGATTTTTCTGGTGCCTGCTCTCTCCCTCATCGACTCATCTGAGGCAGACATAGCCAAAAGGGTTCAAAACATCAAAGTTCGTGCTCAATAATCCAGGTAAAAAAGCCAACAATGTTAAGTCAGGTCATCTGGATGGTTTCTTTTTTGTTGAGATGTTTCGTCCTTCATCCAAAGGACTTCATCAGTCTAATAAATGTAGTTTTCCATCATCTCAACAGTTTGTGGTTAGTTGAATTATTGTTGAATAAAAAAAAAAAAAAAAAATCACAATTGCAACACAATAGTGAACATTCAACCAAATCATTAAAGGCAGTTCATTGCCATCTCTGATGCTGTTTTCTCTCTGTATTTTTTATGTAATTTTTGTAAATGTATTTGTTTGGTCCTTTCAGAATGCCGATGCCAGCTATGACTTCAGCAGCAATGACCCGTTCCCATTTCCACGGTACACAGATGACTGGTTCAACAGGTAATGCTCACTGGGGCAACCCCTGTTTATATGTACACATACTCAGTGGTGTCTTTTTGTGTGCACATTTGTGCGGTCTCCCTGCAGTCTGGCAGCTCTCGTCTATTGATTTCCTCTTCACATATTTCCATTAAGACATAATGGCGCTGTATAAACAGTGGTGTTGTTCGGCCCAAGACAAAAGAAAACCACAATGCCAGTTTTTTACCACACAACTGGTGGCCATAACATACATTAAAGAGGACCATCACAAGTTGCCTCTCAGGGACTGTACACATTGTGACCTTCTTCCTTCTCCGCTTCATGTCTTCAAGACGTGATCCACTGGTTCAACAGGAAAACTCAATGACCATTACAAATGTGTTCTTTCTTTACTGCTCCTGCCTCCATCTCCCCCTGATGTGTGCGAGTGTGTGTTTGTGCACCGCTGTGTCAGATTCAGAAGCTTTGCTATGGTAGCATTTGCTGACTGTCAGGCAATTCTCGCTGGCTAATCAGCCAGTTGTTATAAATAGCTGCATGTCTGTGGCAAGGCATGCTGGGAAAGAGAGGTTGACTCTGCAGTGCATCTGTGGGGAGCAACGAAATGGGAACATAGACGTGACGTGGTGAAAAACACAGATATGTGCAAACACTATTAGTTTCAGCAGCAATCATTATGTTGCCAAGTGAATGTATGCAATATTAGAGACAGTTAGCTTTTATTATAATTATATTTATTTTATGAAATCTTAAAAAAACATTTTGTTATAGAAATCCTCATTTAGTCAGAAGACATTAACACAAACAAAAACCAAGGCTGATCTGGAAAAATCAAAGCTGAGACCTAACCCACAAAATATCCTTTGCAAATTTATGTAAATTCATGCAAATTCTCTCATATCCCTTTTTTCGCTCTTCTTCTTCTCACCAGTCATGGTACACGATGTGCCGGGGAGGTGTCTGCATCAGCCAACAATAACATCTGCGGTGTGGGAGTCGCCTACAACTCCAAGGTGGCAGGTGTGTGTCATGTTAGACCTGCAGTTTGAACAGAGATACGAATAACAATGAGAGGACATCAATGGGAAATAACAGCCCTGATAACAGTTTGATGAAAGGTTCAGGTGGTCTGATGAGGGTGATTCACTCGGGGGAAATTCTGAAAGCAGCTTACGTAAAATACAGGTTGTTGAGTAAAGATGCTTTCGCAGTGTTTAAGCACATTTAAACAGCGCACTTCTACTCCCAGAATAGCTGCTGTTTGTTCATGTGGTTTAGTGGAATTCACTACAGGAAGCACTACTTTTCCTCTGAAATGTGCTTTGGCTGTTTGTATGAAGAAAACTACAATTCAGGAGGGGTGGTTTGATTTGAGTGCTTATATACCTGAGCACACATGTGGTTTTGAACAGTCATCAGATAGTGGATATCACAGAAATCTATTTTCTTTCATTGCTCATTTGTTGCTACCGTCTAGCAGGAGCAGCAGAATTGGTGAATCAATAAAAAACTGGATTGCTGTTCCATCAGGTATTAGGATGCTGGACCAGCCTTTTATGACTGACATCATTGAGGCGTCTTCCATCAGCCACATGCCTCAGATTATTGACATTTACAGTGCCAGCTGGGGACCAACTGATGACGGCAAAACAGTGGATGGACCCCGGGAGCTTACACTGCAGGCTATGGCTGATGGCGTCAACAAGGTAAACTGGAATCCTATTTGATCATGAAAAACAAAAAGTTTAGGGTAATTTTAAATTAGCTCTGCTTCTCCAGAAAAGGAGTTTGCCAGTTTCAGTAAGGTCCCTTGAAGTGGCACGATCAGGTATATTAGTTTATTAATTCCATGAGTGGAAATCTTTATGACGCCAATTAGCTACAACACCATAACTTCTGACAGCTGAAGTGCATTACATCTATTTTCTAGTTGAAATTAAATGCACTGCTTGAAGATTTTTTTTCTTAACAATGTTTTGCAAGCAGCCTCCATCAGCAAGATAAATAAGCATATTGTAGAAATTGACACAGAGCTCATGCTTCTGATCTAACCAAACCACTTTAAAACCCACTGAATCCAAAGGATCAGCTCCCAGTCAACCTGTGCCAAGCAGTAGAGACAATGTCCCTTTGGCACCATTTCTGGTTCTTCAGTTTTAGAAGAGAGGGATAGCATGCCTTATACCGTATTTCTGGCGTATAAGTCACAGTTTTTTTGCATAGATTTTTCAGTTCTGCAACTTATAGGCCGAAGCGACTTATATACGTTTTTTTTTTCCATATTATTATATTATTTCTGTAATTTTTGACAGTCGCTTTAATTTTCGAAGAACTGCAGCAGCTAGTTTTCCCGTGTGTGCTCGCTTCGTTCAGCTGGTGCAGGTGGAGGAATGCTGGACAGCTAGCGGCTACGGCCACGATCGATCGATGGATCAATCAGTGGATCGATCGATCCATCGATCGATCATTGGATGGATGGATGGATGGCTGGATGGCACCGCCCAGGTGAAATTAAGCTGTTTTGACCATTAAATAAACACATAATAAATGCGACGGGTCAGCGGTGATGCATATTAAATGCGAATTATACTCCAAAGAGACTTATACGCTGGAAAATACGGTACATCTTGTAGTTGATTTAAAGTCTCATTATGTTCCTGACCATTCACATTCAAAATTATCCATGTTTTGTCCAAATTAACCGACTAGCTCATTACAGTGCTAAACCAATTTATTTTGTCTAAAAAATGCTGTTTTTTAATCAAATACCCCCACACTCTACTGACAGTAAAAGTACAGTTTGGGGAATTCTGGCGCTAATTTCACATTCATTTTGTCCTGCTCAAGGACAATGCAAAAAGGTGAAAACTCTAAGAGGAATCAGATCTAAAACTTTGGCTACATAAAGACCCACACATCCAGAGTTGCCATGCTTCTAGCTACACTGCCAATTACTTGCTTGATTAATCATCATGTGCATGCAGGCACAAGCTGGTTATAAACAGCCTTGTCCAAGGTGAATAAGAACAAAGCTCTGTTATATTTGATCACGTATGCAGAGCTAATGAAAGAGCCAGAGATTATTATTGATCACTTACATGAGCTTCTGTGTGGGTTGCACCTAGAATGCATTGTGCACAGAAGAAAACATAAAAACAAGAAGTTCTTTATGTCGCAGAAGCACACAGAACAGAACAAAACACTGAATAGTCAGTTGAGCTTTAATGGAAAGAAATAACACGATTCCTTGGAAAATTGTCAGTGTTGTGAAGGAGATAAAACACTGAAGCCTAAAGCACTAAGGCAAGTTCAGTGATTCTCAAACCTCTCTCTCTAAAATTCTAACAGAGGGACATAAATGAGCAAGAAAAGAAAGGAACACGCCATTCTTCTTCCATCTGATCATCTGTCTGGTGGAGACACTCTCAGCCTTTTGTAGTCACAGGTGCAGCAGAGAGTGGGGAGGAGGCTCTATGCAGGGAGCCACATTCGATTGTTTCATGTTTTAAGGCACAATTATCAGCAACTAACGTGACATTTCAGAGCGTTTTACTTGCCAAGTGTTTAATTTGGTTGTTTTCAGAACTTGAGTTTCCTGCAGAAGCGAGTTAAAGAACACTCATGAGAAAAACGGAAACCCAAAAATGTGTTGCATAGCTGTCAGAATGTGTTTCAGTTGGGAGGGGTGGGGGTGGGTGCTGTGCACATGTGTGAATTAGCATGACACCAAACACACATATTAAGGATTTTGTATTACCTGATATATGCAGAAAAATGAACAGCAGTGCATGTTGCCTATCTGAACATGAACATCAGAAAAAGGCTGTAGACAATATCTATAAAAATGCAGCCATGACCTGATTTAACTACAGTTTGTGGGTTTTATGTTGTAAATTGTTGTACCCACTTATATGTATAACTACAAAACTCATTAAAATTAAAATATTATTGGAGTTTAAACATGAAGCACAAATAAATCCGTTATTATCATTTTCCCCATTCAATTTTAACAATGTGGGCACCAGTGACCCCCCGTGCTCCGAAAAGGAAGAAGCGGGTGAAAGATAATGGATGGATGAATGGATGGATGGATTAATGCATAAATGATAGATGGATGGATGGATGGATGATGGATGGATGATGGATGGATGGATGATGGATGATGGATGGATGATGATGGA